TATTTGAAACAAATACCATTTAATTAACTCAAAAATAATTATTTGAAACAAATAAATATTTATTTGATAATACTCAAGTAATCGAGTATTTGAATCAAATAAATTTTTTTTCAGTGTATTATTCGCTTTTTAGGCGAAAACGAAATTTGTTTCTTAGATAAAAAAAACCAGTGACAGTAAAAATATTTACCTGGAACAGCGATAAGTTTCTCTGAAACAGCGATGTACTTCTTTAGAATAGCGAAAACTTTCCCTGTTTGTAACATATCGCTGTTCTAGGGGAAAATTTTTTTGCGTGATACAATTTTTTTGCTTCCTATCTTCAGAGCGCGTCAAATTTTTTTTTTTGAATCCAATAAATATTTATTTATTGTAAACAAAATTTCAAATAATAAATATATAAAATTTTTTTTCTCAATTAATTTTTGAGTAAAATTGTGAGAATATATATAAATTACTCATGTAGAAACTGTAAGTAAAACGAATTGATTAGGGGTTTCAAGTTGACGATAATTGAATATTGTTTTGCACGTTGCTCCGTAAACGCCCACGCGCATTGACACGTGCGCGTGACATTTTAGTGGCACGCATATGTCTGTGCTCTTCTTTCTTACACAAGAATATTCCTTATTTTATCTGCCGTTACACGATATATATACAAGGTTACAGGGTGTCGAAATCGTTAGAAGAGACGCTTTGCTTTCATTTAATAGCGGACATATATATATATACATATACGATGGAAAGTTCGATGGCATTTATTCTGACATAATATGAGAGTTCCTGTTCTCTTCCTCATCTCTCTTATAAAAGGAGAGGACTTTAAAAGAATATCATCGCGCGAGTTAAAAGGAAATATGTAAATTTCACATCTGTATATAATATATAAAGGAATTGTAGAATAATATTCGAGAACCTTTTTTTTCATTTTTAATTTTATTAAATTTCAATTTTAAAATATTGCTGATATGTCTGTGTCGTCCGCAAAAGAAATTAGAATAACCTGAAAAAAATTTTTTTTTTTTCGATTTTCTTGGAACTTCGGTTCTTTTTTGAGAAATCAATCATATATATCTCGCGCGTTTGATGATTCAATTGAAAGACTATTTTAGATATGCTTGTGTGATAAGGCTATAAAATTCTTTTCTTTTTTTTCCTTTTTGTTTGTCTTTATTCAAACCCGGCCTTCTATTCAAGAATTTTATTCTAATTTCCAGAATTTTAGATTATCCAAAAAAAAAAAAAAAAAAAAAAACCCGTTCGCACATTCATATTTCGACAGCGTGGGTAAAATTTCATTTTATTAAAAATTATTTTCTCTTAATTTTAATTTCTTTTTAAGAGCAATTCCTTTTTTGTTAGATGTTAACGACTTTCAAAATTTTTGTTATTTTTTTATCAAAAATACGATTTTTTTATAAACAAAAGAGAAAATTTGGTTGTTTCATTTGCTCATAAATAAATAAATAAATAAAAAAAACAATAACAAATAATAAATAGTAATAAATAATAATAAAAGAATAATATAAATAAGTAAATAAGTAAACAAATAATATTAATAATAAATAATATAAATAAAAAATATTTAAAAAATTCCAATGAAGTAAAAATCATGAAATTGGTAAAAAGAAAAAATTTTTAAACGCAAGGGGTTCTGATTCTGACAGCAATATTAATATTAACAATCTCGTGGAGGGAATTGCGGTTACACGCATATCACATATATGACATATGACACAATGAAGTTTAAAATTCCTAATACTAATATTTTTTTTACTATACATATATATACGAATATAAGAAATGAAAATGTATCGCATATCATTAGGCACGTGCTGATTATTTCTTGATAAAAAGTCGCTTAAACCTATCATTATCTTAAATGACCGCAAATCATAGACAATTGATACTATAATTTATAATCTCCTGACACGAGCTTGTATTTGATATTTTTCATTTTTTTTCTTTTATTTTTTTGCAAATTTTGTATTATTTATTAATATTAAACCAAGATATTGTAAACAAAATACAAAAAAAATTTATTTTTATATTAAAAATTATTTGGTAAAATATGAGAAATTTTCATTATTTTTTTTTCTGTTTATTTATATAAATTATATTTTGAGATTTGTAATTTTTTGATAAAATTTTTAGCGTTCTGAATTTTACGATTTGGATTTCATAATCTTTTCAAAAAAAAAAAAAAAAATGTGAATAGACACACAACAACGCACTTGTCTGCGCGCAAGAGTTTCATTCAGATAAAATGACAGGGTCATTGAACTTTTCTAGGGTAAATTAATAGATTTCACTGATATATACAATACATATATAAATCAGTTTGAAAATGTGTACTACCTTCATTAATATTAATTTATTTCTTACAATTTTTATTTTTTAAATTCAATCCATATTATATAAATTTTAAGAAAAAGATATATCTTAATTTGGTGGAACAGATCAAATTTTGATTTATAAGTAAATATTTGTCTATAAAACAACAAAACTAATAAAAGAAAAATGTTAAATTTTCATTTCCCTTTATTTTTAATTTCTCCAAAAAATTCATTTTTTAATTAAAATAAATTTTTTTTAAATTTATCAACTTAAAATATTAAATAAAAATTTAAATATGGAAATTTAAATAAAATAATAATTTAAATACAATAAAAGAAAAAAAATTATTTTTCAAATATGACGTAAATGATAATTAATAAAAAAAAAAGAAAGTGTAGGAGGAAATAAAATAAACTTTGATATATATAATTAAAATGTCAGAAAGTAATATAACTTGTGCATTTGCACTTTAGAATGAATGAAATTCTTATCGACTTTCCCGCGATATATACCTGCTTCTATTAAACATCGTGCTTATCTTTTTCATGTGAAATGTCGTCCACATATACTATAACAAAAACAAGAATGATGAGCAAGCGGCTCGTGTCAGCCAAAACTAAAATAATCGTTTTTGTCGGAAATAAAACGTGAGTCGGTGCTTCAACTTTAAATATTATATATATATATGTGAGGTGATTTCACCTTTAAACATATATTTTCCAAGAAAAATTACATATTTCTTATCTTGATATTGTTGTATTTCAATACTACTTCCGGTATAAACTATTCTTGTATTTCAAAAATCTTTCTAATGTTAAAAAATTTTAAATCTCCAAATTTTATATATATATATATATAGTGGAAAGTGTTAAAAAAAATTACATTTTTATATAGAAAAAAAAACTTTTGTAAAATAAATAAAAAACAAAAACTTTTTTAATGAAAAGAAAAAATTATTTACATATAGTAAAATTTTCCTTTGACCCAAAAAATATACTTTGTTTAAAATAAATATTTACTCGTTATCTGAAAAAAAAATATGAAAAAAAAAATTATTTTAAATTCAAATATTTAAAAATTATAAATTCATTAATAAATTAAATTATTTATACAATAATTCCAGAAATTTACCAATAAATAATGTTATGTATTTAAAATTCTATATAATATATATATTATATAAAAATCTTTTTGTTATAAAAATAAATTAGATAATTGCCATAAAAATATAGTAATCATTTTCTTTTAAATTTTTTTTTTTCAATTTATGCCCCATTTAATAATAATAATTGTTCTATACTTTAAAATAAAGATTTAAAAAATATTCGTAAAAATATTTTCTCCTATTAAAGAAGCCTGAAAATTGTTTAGCAATGACTAATGAAAGAACTGATTGTGAAATATAAAAAAAAGTATATATATAGGTATTCCTTCTATATATAAGAACGTCTTTTGTCATTTTTAAGTAACACGTGTTTTTTTTAGAATGTAAATAATAATGACAACAATATATAGTAAAATTGAAAAATATAGTACAATATCATTATTCATAAAAATTATTATCATAAAAATTGTTTTAATTTGACAATAATTTTATTCTACAATTGGCAAAATATGAATTAATAAAAAAAGCACGATAAATGAAGCACGTGTATTAATATAAAGTATATATATATATATATATACGTAATTTGTACGTGAAATGTAGTTATGAAAATACAAGTAAAATATAGGCCACACGTGTTAATAGTTTGACAATATTTATCACCCCAGGTTTACTCAATACTTCAGTTCTATTAGTTTGATTACTCATCCATCCATTAATTTACGTAACACCACATTGTTAAATAATAATTAAATAGAAAATAAATAATAAATTCACGTTTTTGTTTAATTGGCAATTTTTTTGCAAATACAAAAAAAAATATAAACAAAACTTTTATCTTTTTAATAAAACAATTTTGTTTTTGTGTATTAAAAACATTTTTTTAATTATAGTAACAAGTGTCAAAAATTTATTAAAATTACTGATTAAAATTCATTAATAGTAATAGAAAAAAATTAATTGAAAAAAATTCATTTATAATAAAATAATTTTAAAAAAAATTAAATAAAAAATTTCTTATATGAAATTTTTTATTATTTTATATTATTATACATGAGAGAAGTTTTTTTTTAGAATAATTTGCGCCTATATGAGTATAATGAGAATAGCGAATGAATAATAAATTGAGCTTTGAATAAACTCTTTATATTATTTTGGCAACCGGAAGTTAATGCGAAATAGGGTATTTTGAAACTCGTCTAACGAGAAATCATGTCTTTAAAAACGTGCTCTTTAATCACTTGATAAGACATTATTACACATATATATATAATGAAAACAATTTCTATATATTATAAATACCATTGTAAGTATTTAAGATATCAAAATTATATACTTTCAGAGAATTAATTTCTTTTTTTTTTATAAATAAATTTAAAAATTCTATTTTGGAAATAATTAATTTTTTTTTTAATTTCCTCACATTTTCATTGATAAAAAAAAGATCCTCACTACTGTCATTGACTGTTTTTACTTTCATCGTTTGGAAGAATTTCAATTTTTTATCCTTCTTACATAGAGAGATATTATATGAATTATTAAATAATTTTTTACTCACCAAATTTGATCACAATTATTTTGGAATTCTCTTGGAAAAATTTTGTAATTAATTTATTTATATACGATAAATTACAATTTTATTGTCACTTTTAAATCTCTACGTAAGTAGAATTTTAATTTAAAATTATTTTTTCAAATGCAATATATTGGAATTATAATTAATTATTAATTATTAATTACAATAATTATAATTACATGAAAATAATTTTTTTAAAATTTTATTTAATTTCTATTATTTCGTATTAAAATTGAAAGAAATAACACTTTTTTTTCACATGACATGTGAATTAAAAATTTTCAAAATAGAGAAAAATGACAGAAAACGCGAATAAAAAAGCGATGCACACCGAATGAAAGCTTTGATTCAACTTAAAGTGCGCGCAAGATAATCTCTTGTGTTCGAATAGAGACTGAGTGGCTCCCCATCATGTTCCAAAACTGTGAAATCAGCGACATCTAGCACGTGTCATTTAATTTCAGAACTATTTTCAACGATTAATAAGATCTCAACTATTTTTCAAAGGTTGTGGGAATAGATTTTATATAGAGAGACAATAAGAGAAAAAAAAATTAAATTTTAATTATATGCACATACATTTATATCACATTAAGTTTAAAATTTTTCAATTTTTAAATTAAAATAATATTTTCCCTTTTGTTATTATTTAATCAAAATTAATAAATACTGAATTAATAACAATAATTAATTAATAATTATTACTTTGAAAATTAACTAGAAAAATATTAAAGTAACAATAGTAAATAAAAATTAATTTGTTACAATAATTATTATTATTATTCTAAAAAAAGAATTGTCGAAAAATAAATCGCGACAGAAAGTGAGATTTTATTGATGCTTTGAAAATTTTTGCATTTTATATCCATAAATAGAAAAAATTCTTCTTTAAAAATAAAAATAAAAAAAGTTTCCAACATTGCAAACTAAAATTCTCCATATATACTAAAATGGATCGATTTTTTGAATGTTGTTATATGATAATAAAGGAATGATAACATCAAATAATGTTCATTTGCATTCTTAGAAAAGTGTGCACGACCTAATAAATTAAATAATATATATTCTGTAAAATAAATAGAAATTTATTCTAATAATTTATCTAAAATTAATGCTAAAATACTGAAAATTGTAAAATTCATTAAAAAAAAATGTTTTTAAATTATTTTATAAGTGCAAATTAAATCTATGTTAACAACAGTTGATAAATAAAAATTTCAAAAAAGTACATTTAATACTACCTAGTTTAATAAATTCAAATAATAATATTTATCTATAATTCAAACAGTATTTTACAATCATTTAATAAACAAATGTTCCTTTTTTTTGTTTAATTAAAGCATTTACTAAATTAGGCGGGTAATTTTTGAATATTTGAAAAATATTTAACTTACGTAACTAACTAACGTATATCACGTATATATGCACTTGCGGCAAACTTCAGATTATTCGTGACTTTTTCAAAATGGAGGAAGGTGACAATAAAACAGAAGTACAATCAAGTGAAACAAAAAAATCATATGCCGGTATTCCTGAAGCCGAATTTGTGGTAATTATTGTTTGCAAAAAATACTTTTAATTTACATATTTATTTAAATATATTTTCCAACAAAATTAGAACTTTTTTAGTGTCAACAACTCGTTAAGTGTATCATATAACCTCAAAATTTATTTTTCCCCATTATTTTATTAAATTAAATAATTTTTATAAATTGTAACTAAATTTATTGTTTGCAAAATAATTAATTTCAATGATTACAAATTTATTTATATCATTTTTATTGACACAAGTTTTATAATTCTCAAGTAGATCCTTATATGGTAATGAAAGAAGGTCTCGCGTTGCATGTTTCTAAAACACTATATAAAAGAATTTTCTAACACAACGAATGAGAGAAAATATTTAACGAATTCTTCTCTTTAAATAATTTATTTACAAAAATAATTTTTGTTTAAAAAAAAATTTAATTTTTAATTACACAACTTTTATTATTGAAACAAACTTTTTCACATCTAAAATACGAAATTTTATTTTAAAAACAGGAAGATGTCGATGAATTTATGGCAAAGGCAGAAAACGATGGATCTGCGGATAAAGTATTGAAAAGATTAGATGAAAATCATAGTAAATACAAATTTATGGAATACAATTTAATTAGCAAACGAAGAAGATTAAAAGTACAAATTCCCGATTTGGAACAATCACTTGAGATGATTGAAAAATTACAAACGGAGAAAAATAACAGTAAAAATTTGGAAACACAATTTTTATTGTCTGATCAAGTTTTTGCTAAAGCTATTATTCCACCCACGGATAAAGTGTGCTTGTGGCTTGGTGCTAATGTTATGTTAGAATATTCTCTTGATGATGCACAAGAACTTTTGACAAAAAATATGGAAACAGCTAAGAAAAATTTGGGTTTTGTTGAACATGATTTAGATTTCATAAGGGACCAATTTACAACCACCGAAGTTAATATGGCTCGTGTATATAATTGGGACATTAAACGCAAACAAGCCGCTAAATCTTTAAGTCATATAGACGAAGAAGAAGAGGAGGTGGCCAAATCAACATGAAATTTTTGCATTTTAATCAAAAATCATTTAATATTTAATGATTTTTGCTTTTACATTATTAATTTTTTTTTCTTTATTTTCTAATACTCATGAACCGGTTGAAAAATTATTTTACAGCATAAAACGAAAAATATAGAATTGCAATTGAAAAATTACAATTGTTTTATTAAAATGTCTAGAAAGGGTAATTTACACTATTTACATTTAAAAAATAATATGTACGAAACTCAGGATTATAAAATTCGCTTTGAATCAAGTTTGCGTCGCAATTTTTTAATCAAATCTGTATAATGAATTATAATAAAACTAGTTCGTAATTTATTACTTGGTCATGAAATTATTTATTTCTATTTTTGCTAATTAATGAAAAATGAAACTTTAATTAAATTTGAGATCTGTTTATTTTTGAAAATTATGCTTTTGTCAATATACACAAGATTTTCTTACGGTCTATATTATTTCTTAATTTAGAGAAACATTATTTTAAATAATATCTAGTATCTCAAAGTAGTAGAGTTCATTTATACAAGTTTCGTGATTTCAACTATGTTGACTAGTAATTTTTTAATATCTAAATTTATTCTATCGGTAAATTTTATCTATGAACTTAATATGTGAAACAGTTATTTAAGCACCAAATATGGAATGTAATATGAATTTATTTAATGCTTGAAAACTTTTTTCTTGTTACATTTATTTTCATTTTTAAATCTAGATTTTGCAAAATATACTTCTTTAAATTCTCATCATAATGAGAAAATTTTATTTTCACTAAATAATATATTGCTATATTTTACTAAATAGTTTAAAAATGAAAATAAAATATGATTAAGTTTTCAATTCTGATTTAATACTTAAGATATTTTGTTTCCCATACAACCCTTATACTTAATTGAAACTCAAATCGATCATAAATGTTAAAATTAAATTAACTAAATAGAAATATTTGAATTGAAGAAAAATTTTGTACAACATTTTTGCAAATTTGCAAAAAACAAACAATTTTACTGCGAAAAGAAAAATTTGACTTTTATATCAAAGTCATAGAAAAGAAAACAATTGTTTTTTTTTTTAAACAAAACTCTACTCTTGATAAATTTAAGTCATTTCTTTAAATACTTGTCAATCTATCGTTTACATGTATAATCATGAGACTTGTTAAACTATCAAAAGATGTGTATTATACATTTTAAAGTCCATGTTTGATACGTAATACTAGATCAAATTTGAAGGCACATTTATGACATATTTCTCTAGAAAAGTTTTTAACTTAATGACGAGTGTAGGACTAGTACAAAATTATGTCTATAAAAAATAAGTAAAAAAAAAAAACAACTTATTCCTGTGCTTGTTCAGATTCGTATTTTGTTAATTTTGATGATAATTCTACAACTTTTGCATTTGATTCCTCCAATTCTTTCTTGAGAGTTTCCAATTCCGATGGACTTTCTGTTATGCCACCCAAATGTTTACGTACATATCTATTTACATATTATTAAGGATTTTATATTTTTTTTACGCTAAAATTTTTAATGAGAAAAATTTATTTCCAGGAATATAATCAACGTTTTAAAAAAGGATACTCCAAGGCGTCTTCGGGTTTATCAGTTTCTTCATACAAAGAAACGAGAACTTTTGTCAGAGCATCCATCACTCCTGCATGTTCCAGGTATTTGCGAAATTCTTCACGTTTTGCGTCAATAGGCTAAAAACAAAATTAAAAATTTTAATCATTTTTATAAAAAAAAAAAAATAATCTGTCAGAAAAACGGAAATTTTCTTCTTAAAAATAACTTAAAAATTGAAAGCTTAGAAATATTAATTGTTACATATGTTTTTGCCCATTGGATCATTTTTATAATACTTTTAATAATATTTAAAAGAAAAGATTAATATGAAAAGAATCTTTGTTCAATATTTAGAGGTTAGGTTTTATAGACAATCAAAATTTTTCTTAAATTATTGACATAAATATTACCTTATAGTTGGACATTTTGAAATTTGGCAATAACTCTATTTTATTTATGAATCTTTTTTCCAGTTGTAGATAATAAGTAGCTTTAATTAGAAAATATTTAACTTGAATGTCACACAAATGTGGGATAAAGCTAACAAACCGGAAATGACTGGAAGTTTCTCTCTTTCTCTTTAACTTGCGGAAAGTTTCAGTCTAAACAATGCGCGTGACGTTTAACGTATGTGTGTGTGTGTGTGTGACCTAACCTCACTTTGAGAAAATAAGAGTAATGTTGATAAAGCAGAATATGAGGATATACCGTTAGAAGGTAAGAGAATTTCACTAATTTGAAGATTATACAATAGGTGGCGAATTTTTACTCTTTCATTTATACTAATTTAAATAATTAATATTTTTATTCATTTTTATTATTAATTAGTTATTATTGATTAATTAATTCTTAATTCTTAATTATTAATTATTAATTATTAATTATAATATTTTTAAATTCATAAAATTATATCTTAATGAATTTTTACTAAAATTTAATTTATCAAGAAACATTTATTTAATTCTCATCAGTAAAATAATTAATTTTTTTTTAAATTATTTAAATTCTTAGATAAAATTTGTAAATTTATAAATATATTCATATCTTAAGAGTAAATTTTTAATCAAAATAGATAAACTCAAAATTCATCTTTAAATCACTCAACATACTCTTAAATTAAGAACAAACATCGAGTTATTCGAAAAAAAATTATTCTTATTCTAAGAAGATGAAATAAAAAGATTGTATTCGAACAAAATTATTTTTGGAAATGTGAACTTAATTTTTATTTTTCTTTTATTTTAATATTTGTGATTGCTATCATATCAAAAAAATATTCTGAAATTGAGAATATATGCTTGGCTCCTATTTTTAAATATTTTATTTTTAATTCAGTACAAATACTGTTGGAAAAATTAATTTATTCCAAATATATAAATATATGTTCTTAAATTAAGAATATTTTATCATAAAATATAATATATATTCTTCAATTAAAAATATATTTTTAAAAGAGTATATTCTTATCTTAAGAGTAAGAGTACGTTAAATTTCACGAATATAAATTAACACTAAATTATTTTAAAATATGTGCTAAAAATATATTATATTAAATATTAATATTAATAATTTAATTTAACTTTTAATTTTAATATTATTATTATAATATTATAATATTAATTAAAGTATATTAAATTTGAGAGTATTTTTTCTTTGTGTATTTATATAGACAAGCTTCAAAACTAGGCAGCGATTTTATATAGCTATAAACCCAAGCTTTTCCCGTGACGTCACAGGAGCATTCGTCCTAGTAACAGGGACGCCGGCTCAATTTCCTCCCTCTACAATCCACAGTTCCAGTTGTGATAGGTTAGAGGTTATGCTCTCAGAAAAGGGTTTCTAGTTTTATCCCTTCTTCTCCATTCTCAGAACTAATTTATCATATATTTATAATACTCTATATAATCTATAATTCTATAATTCTACACCGAAAAAAAATATTCTTAAATGTAGAGTATATACTTGGCACCTATTTTAGAATATTTTATATTTAAATTAAGTATGTAATATTCTTAAAATTATAAAAAATTTGTAAGGAATTTTTTCATTTTCCAGGAAAACATTCTATTCAAAAAAATGGAATAAAATTGATTATTCTTAGTCTACTGCAATTTAGGTTCAATTGGTAGGTTTTTTTGAAGGTTATTACGTGTTGTTTTAAGGTAAAAAAATAATAGGGACATGCTGATTAATTTTATTTGACTTTGAAAGGGATTTTTTCATTTTCCAGGAAAACATTCTATTCAAAAAAATGGAATAAAATTAATTATTGTTAGTCTACTGCAATTTAGGTTCAATTGGTAGGTTTTTTTTAAGGTATTACGTGTTGTTTGAAGGTCAAAAAAAAATAGGGACATGCTGATTAATTTTATTTGAATTTTTTTCGAATTTTTTCATTTTCCAGGAAAACATTCTATCTAAAAAAATCGAAAAAAATTGTTTATTCTTATTCTGTTGCAATTTAGATTTTTAGAGCTTTAGATTTTTAGCTTTAGCTTTAGATTTTTTTAGAGCTGTGCAATGTTTGAATCGAATCGAATTTTGTTCGGTTTTTAATGACCCTGACTCGAATTTCGAACTTTCGACATTCGAACTGGACTGAAACGGATGTCAGATTTTCGACATTCGAACTGGACGGACTCGAATGTCGGATTTCGACATTCGAACTGTGCTGACTCGGATGTCGAATTTTTGTAATTCGAACTCGGCGTAAAAATTCGAACAGTTCGGTTCGATTTATTTTGCACAGGTCTAATTATTATATATATATATATATATATATGGAAAAATATATATATGTAACGTCAATTCTAGTAGCCATAGCAATCGGTCAATATTATACGAGCGATTGATGCTCTAGAAAATAATTGATAAGACGTATTGTATATTCCACAAGAAACATATTATAACGTCTTATGGCTCTTTTTTTACCCTTTCGTTCCTATTCAATAATTCTCAGTTAAAACATCTGTGAACTACATTTTTGATATTTCACTCTAAAGCCATCGTTCTCTTATCGAACGACTGATATATCCTATATATATATTTCTTTCTTTAAAAAAACCTAGTTAAAAAAAATTATGCATAATTTTAGCCATTTTCATCAGTAGTAAAAGACAATATTTAGTCAGACTTTCTATTTTTTGTAATTTTATAAGTGAATAAAATCGAGTTTAGTCAGACACAATGACAAAATTAGAAAAACAGTAGTATAATTAATGTTTAGTCAGACCCAATGACAAAATTAAAAAATCTGTAGTATAAGTAAATGTTTAGTTAGAATTTTTTCTAATTTTATGAGTAGTACAAATAAATATTTAATCAGACTTGCTAAATATAAATTATAATATATATAAACAGTTATTCATAAGTATAAAAACAATATTAAAACTACATATTTGTAATTTTATTAATAGTAAAAGTTTATATTAGTCAGACATAGTGTCGTGTGTAATATACAAAACAGCTCAAGTAAATATTTTGTCAGACTTTATAAATTTTTTGTAATTTTATCAGTAGTATAAATCTATTTTAGTCAGACATAATGTTGCATATAGAAAACAGTAGTACAAGTAAATGTTGGTAATACTTTTTTTACTAATGTTATCAGTAGTAAAAATTTAATTTAGTCAGATACAATTACTAAAAATTGACAAACAGTACTGCAACTAAATATTTAGTCAAAACTTGCTAAAAATTTTCTACTTCTATAACAGTAGTACTACTACTCTATTTTACTATAAAGAAAATGTTTCCTTACTTTTTTTTCCCTAGAAAAAAATTAACCAGATTTTTCTTCTTGACGATCTAAATTTTAAAATTCATTATAAAAAGCTGTAATTTTTCATGTTCCCAACAGAATTCCACATAGCGAAAGAAATATATAATATATATAGAACAAGATTTTTTTAATTTTTAAAGGGAGAAAAATGGATTTTTCCAATTTTTCGAGATCGTCCCTTAATTTTCGTCAATCTAAAAAAAGAGAGAGAGAGAGAGGAAAAAAAGAATAAAAATCAATTGGCCATCGAAGTCAGCCAGTCTACTACTTTAGAATCCGATGGGGAGCTTCGACCCCGCGACCCAGTTTGCCTCATATGACGTCATCTTCAACGTCATTGCCCGGGCGAAACTGGGTCATACAGACCCAGGCTCCTTCATGGGAAACTGGCTAGTTTATTGAGAAATTTCCAAATAAATTTGGTCTACCTGTACCAGGAAATAAACTCTCTCAGAAATAAAATATTTCGCGACAAGGGATTCTGTGTCAATGAGTCGTGTTTCAAAAAGAATCCTTTTTCTTCTTTATCATTTCCCAAAACACGACGAGATTCCCATTATCTTCACAGTGAGGAACGTCTAATTGTTTCCTTATAGAAAAAGTATGGTAAATTCCAAAATTTTATTATTAAGAAAAATTTTTAGCCATTATACTGCTGTATCGGTCTCTCAGACCGAAATATTTTTTGCTTATTAGATTTTTTTAAAGTACAATAGAAATTTCAGTATTTTCAACATTATTATTAACTTGATGATACAAAAGTATCGTTTTACAAATATGTTATTGAAACAATAACAATTTCTGTAGCATATGTTTGAGAATAAACATTGTGCAAAGTTGAATTTCTATTTCAAAAGAAGAGAAAAATTAAAATAGTAAAACATTCAACTTTTAGTAAGTCAAATGCTACCGGATTATAGCATCTAAAAAATAATTTTAAAAGTATAATAAATATTTATTATACTTTTTTACTGTATTATAAAATTTGGTACAAAAATGTCTATTCAGAATTTAAGCATTTTTTGTTCATTTCTACTCATTTTAGTTTCTAATTCGTTTAGTGAAGAAATAAGTATTGAGAAATGTACAAATAATTTAAACAAGTACATAAAAGAAATTTTGATACCGCATCAAGTGGTATTGTTAACAAACACAGATTTTGATAAGACTGACAAAGGTGAAATTGTGTTAATATTACAAAATCTGCCTCATATACGAATTAATATCCAAAAGATGTTAGCAGAGGATCTAATGAAATTAAGCAAAACACAATCTTTTCGTAATCCAAGGCTAACGTCCTTGTTTCTGCATGTGAATTCCATTGACAATGGTATAAACTCTTCCAACATTTCCTCATCCATAAATTACTTGACACATCTCTCACCAGCTAAAGGTCGTCCTAAAACATTGCTAATTTCTTTGACTAATCAGAAAACATCCTTCGAAGGATATCTCCACGAAATGTGGTCGAGACGATTTCTCGATTTTACAGTCTTAGAAATAAGAAACGGAAAACAGAAATCATATTTACAAAATTTTGAAACCAGCAAAACATTCGTTCACTATTATAATCCTTTTACAAACAGATATTTTAGAAAAAAATGTTTGTCAACAACAGTTTGGTTTCCTAACAAACTGCAAAATCTTTATGGTTATCAGATAACTGGTGGATTAAATGTACAACCACCATTTAGTTTTGCGAAATATGACAAAGCCGGAGATTTATTGAGCTGCAGTGGTGCAGATGTGGAAATGTTCTACAGTTTATCTAAAGCTATGAGTTTTACAACACAAGTGTCTTC